GATATGCCGAGCGCGAATCTCTCTGCTCGCGCGCGGGAACTGGGCGCGCGCTCTCAGATACACTTCTCTTGTAAGAATTCTCTCTCTGGGCTGAGTGGGCTCGCTGCCTCGCTCAGAGAATATGCCTGCACTTAAAAACGTGTTCAGTGCAATCGCTCCTCTTCCCCAGCTAACAATTTTAGGTTATAAGAACGTTTTCATAACGTTCCCATTAAGTTATAAAAACGTTATTTCTGAATGTTCTAGGGAATTTCAAAAAGTCCCGTTTTTTAGACGTTTTATTAACGTTATTTCTTGGTTATAAGAACATTCAATTCTCCCGTTATGTAAACGTTGTATTAATGTTATTTCCTGGTTATAATAACGTTAGAACGTTCAATTCTCCCTTTGTATAATTAAACGTTGTATGTATTAACGTTCTTGCTTGGTTATAAGAACGTTATTCAAACGTTCAATTCTCCCATTATATAAACGTTCTCTTAATGTTTTTCTAAGATAATGAAAAACGTTTCATTCAATAAAAAAACATTAAGAAATGTTTTAATAATTATTAAAACCTGTCTTAATGTTTTTTATATAACAATATAATAGGCCTAGCCTATATGAAGAACCTAAAACAAGAACTTTCAGATTTTAAAATTAAGACAAAAAAAAAATAAAAAAAGACCCATGAATCATGTCTATAATATGTGTAATGTAGTCCACTGAAGTCGAGTTGAATTGAACCCAAGTAGGCCTATAGTTTATTCCAATAAACCGATTTGGGTTGAAGTGACCATATGAAATTAACATGAACATAAACTTGGAAATTGTTGTAAAAATGAGCTATATTAAATTAAATTAACTTTAACTTGTGAATGTCATTGGTTGTTTTTGGTCATTATCCTTGTCCTTGTGTTCCCATTGTCTCTTGTCTAGCTTTGTTCCCTGTACCATTGTTGGTGATTCTATGTTTAGTCCAAGTTTATGTTCATGTTAATTTCATATTGTCACTTCAACCCAAATCGGTTTATTGGAATAAACTATACTTGGGTTCAATTCAACTCGACTTCAGTGGACTACATTACACATATTATAGACATGATTCATGGGTCTTTTTTTAAAAATGTTGTCTTAATTTTAAAATCTGAAAGTTCTTGTTTTAGGTTCTTCATATAGGCTAGGCCTATTATATAGGCTACCTTGTTATATTAAAAACATTAAGAAAGGTTTTAATAATTATTAAAACATTTCTTAATGTTTTTTATTGAATGAAACGTTTTTCATTATCTTAGAAAAACATTAAGAGAACGTTTATATAATGGGAGAATTGAACGTTTGAATAACGTTCTTATAACCAAGCAAGAACGTTAATACAACGTTTATATAAAGGGAGAATTATAACCAAGAAATAACGTTAATACAACGTCTAAAAAACGGGACTTTTTGAAATTCCCTAGAACATTCAGAAATAACGTTTTTATAACTTAATGGGAACGTTATGAAAACGTTCTTATAACCTAAAATTGTTAGCTGGGGAAGAGGAGCGATTCGCGATTGCACTGAACACGTTTTTAAGTGCAGGCATATTCTCTGAGCGAGGCAGCGAGCCCACTCAGCCCAGAGAGAGAATTCTTACAAGAGAAGTGTATCTGAGAGCACGCGCCCAGTTCCCGCGCGCGAGCAGAGAGATTCGCGCTCGGCATATCATATTCCGCGCGCGAGCAGAGAGATTCGCGCTCGGCATATCATATTCCGCGCGCGAGCAGAGAGATTCACGCTCGCGCATAATATTAATGTACTTTCGCGCTACAATAATGCGCTCTCGACATTTGCCAGGATAATAACGCCATAAATACAGAGCTGGCCTCGGATCGAGCTACCAAGCAACACTTTCTGATGTGTAATTGTTCAAGTTCAGACAGGTAATCTTTCTCTCAAAATCGTTAAATACTGTTTATGCATCAGTAAGTCAAGCCAGTGACTAAAATATCAGCTTCACATCGTTTCTTTTAGTAGGATGAAAATAATCGTATTTAAATTGTGACCAAATTATATACAGAAAGCGATCAAAGAACAATCTTTCCACACAGCGCGAGTTTATCTGGACACTTGCCAAACTCGTTATGAAATCAATGACGCACGTTACTGCACAACGAAGCTCTTACTGTATGTACATCATCGTGTTTGCATTGGTGAAAGCAGAGAGAGTGCAGAAACTGCTTTGCAATGATAAGATCTTCATTCTCGCGATCAACACACTGTCATCTGCTCAATGCTCATCACGGCAACATTTTATGTGATGGGAATAGATCTAAATACTTTAAAAACATCTCACGATTCGTTAATCTCGATAACTGTTATAGTAAAAACGTATAATAGCAGTAGTAAAAGTATTCGTGAGAGAGTTTCACATGTAATGAGTAGCTATTTCATATGCAAGCATGTCAGCCAATCACAGCAGTGGCCGCGGTTACACTGAATCCCACAGCAGACACGCCCCTTCAAACAGAGTGTTCAAATCAGAGGCTAAAAGCAGGCAAGGAAAAATGCCATTTATTTCTAAATTATGATTATTTTTTATCTAAAAAACATACTAACATTATAAGGGTAACCCAGGAAACATTATAAAAAAAAAAAAAAAAAACATTCTAGGGCACCTTTAACTTACGAGTAGCTTGTAGCTTGTCAAACTACAGTTTCAGAGTAGCTTCCCCAACACTGCCTATACATCCTTTACACAATGTGACGTAGAAAGACTGTAAATCATGTTTAAACATGCAGTGTGTAATTACTGTAGCGGCACAAAACGGAACTGTAAAAATAATAAATTTCAAACTGTTCAGAAAAACAAGAAAAACAAACTGAAAAAAGAAAAAAAAAAGTACTGCACAAACTCAGGCAAGCTAATGAAATGTCGGGATGCTCAAAGAAACTATTGAAAGTGCAACAGAGATAAAGAGCTTGTTCAAAATAGATTCAGATGCAGCAGATGCTTTTATCCAAAGCAAGTTTAAAATTAGGAACATAATCAGTTTGTCACACGCACTACGCCAGATTTTAAGTATACGCACTAGTAGCCTACACAAAAATCAGGCTGTAAATGGCTTACTTAGTTGTCTCTGCACATCAGTCTGAGGTACATTATACACCACAACCAGCACAGGAGTTCTGTAACACTCACTGCAACACCTTCCCTTTATCTAATGGAAATGTCAGCACTGACTGGCCGGTGTGATGTGAATAGTGCAGCAAATAAGAGGCAACTCAGCTGTTCTCAAAATAACTGAACCTGTGAACAATTGTTTTGAATATGAAGTTATCTCTCAATTCTACCATGTAGTTTCATGAGTTACCATGAGTTTCATGTATGGTATAGACTCCACACCATGCTAGACATACATGGACAAGAGACACAAATAGGCCTAATCAGCATGACAGTGGTGGTATGTATTGTGACACCGCCCCCTAGTGATTAAACAACAATAGCAACTTGTGGTAGATATTGCAGAGTTTACAAGTAAAATGATGTATGTAGCTACTCAAACGGAACCAGTGTGTTTCACAGCTGCATATGGAGATTCAATATGTTTCATATTCTAGCATTATGTGAACACCAACTACTGATTTACTACTGTAGGCCTAGGTAAGCGAAATTTGATCTAAAAACTAGACATTTATCTGCATGTGTGCACAACATAAAGACCTTCTTCATCGTCGCTGGAAAATAATCAAGTGAATATTGATCAACTCAGATCAATATTCACTGCATCCGGTGCTCTTTGTGTTTTATAATGTAAATATCCCGGTACATGTTTGAGTTTACTCTGTGAGAACGCTTCCTAACGATTCGGTAAGAGTGGGGTGTCTGAATGATTCAGGTTAAACCCTGGACCATTTTGGTAGCCCGTTTGATCGATTCACGAATTGAGTTGAGTTGTTCATTTCTAAACATTTACGACGTGATTACTGTTAGTTAGGGAAAATGTTAAATTGTATGCAATGTCAACGCCTGTACTGTAGCTACCCTTGAAAACGACCTGGATTCAATAAAGGTGAAGGCAATAGACATTTCCTCTGAACTTTCACTTGTGTAACATGAAGTCTTATGGGGTTTGCACTCTTCTCATTTCCTTGCTATTTAGAGTTCAAAATATATAACGTAGTCTGTTGTCATGACCAACAAGTTGAACAAGTTGGAGTTGAACAATGCAGAGGTTTCATTAGTTCCAGTAGGGGGCAGTAAGACATTACAAGTTTCCATCTCTGTATTTGGTTTTATTTGCCTTTGGACAGTGTTGAGACCTTTATTTTATTTCCAAAATATAAAAAAAATAAGTACACTTGAGAGAAATTGTTTCAGCTGTTTCAGTAGATTATTTGCGCTAAATGAATGGTTATTGTCATGGTGCAATGAGAAGAAAAAGTAATATTTCTTTAGGCTATTTGTGGTTTATGCTTATTTTTTTAATAGTTTTTTTTCCAGGTTCCTTTTATTGTGATAAACAAGAAATGAATTGCAAATCTTAATTTAAAAGTATATATTAAAATATTTGATTATGGTTATGTTTTTATTGTGTCATATTCCTTATTTTCTTTATTACCATATATATATATATATATATATATATATATATATATATATATATATATATATATATATATATATATATATATATATATATATATGGTTAAAAATATATATTCGGGCAGATATACAGTATGGGTGGACTTCTCCTTGAAGTTGCAACGTTTTATCTTTGCATACTGAAAAACTCGCACATCACATGTATCTATAGAGATATCGTTTAAATATGAATTTTCACAAAGGCCTGGCCTTTATATACTACAGTATATAGAACACAATTGATTTGTCTGGGGAAAAACGAGATACGTTACAGGAACAACAATGATTATTATTTCTATAGGGCAGATCTGGGTTAGAAGATTAATTAGATTAAATAAGAATACATAAAAACCATATGTATCTCATTGATGCTAACCCGTTTTTGTTCTCATTTCAGCACCTGTAGGTCTCGGATGCATCAGAGGATTCTCTGTGGTTTAACCAAGGGAGGTTTTTGTGCAGCATTGTTTGACTGTGTGAACACCCATTTGTCATTTATCTTATGTAGACTCTGACAGTAATAATCTCCTGCATCTTCAAGATGGGCATTACTGATGGTCAGAGTAAAATCAAGACCGTTTCCTCCAGAGTGAAAACTGCCTCCACCGCTCATTCTAGATGGAGCACTTGAGGGCTTCATTGTTGTGAAATATATAAGGAGTTTAGGAGGTTCATCTGGCTTCTGAATGTACCAGAATATGTAGTAATCTTTGGATGTTGAGCCCGTTGGAAGCCTATAAACTACAGTGTTGACCTTACAATCAATAGAGACTGTTTGACCAAGCTGAACTGATTTAAACTCAGGTTGAGTCACAACGACCTGTCCCAAAGAGCCTGTGAGACAAAGAAGACTTTGCTGAATTCAAATATTTATTAGTACAAAAATTTAGGAAAATATATAAAAAAAGGAAAAATATATTAAGAAAATATATATATATTTCTGTTTCATTACCTTGGATGCAGTAAATTGCCCAGATGAAGAGAATCATATTGGCTTCTGTAGAGTGGACAGATCTTGTATGTTAAAATCTTTCACAGGCCTATAAACCCTTCCAGAGCACTGAAGCATGAGCTGCCAATGCAAAATAACATTACAGTGGAAAAAACCTTTCTGAACTGAGATATCATATGATGATGGGCATTGTAATATATGCATATTTTAATGAGTTAATCATCATAGTTTAATTTAAACTTGTGCGGTGCTCTCAGAATATTCTTGAGGTTTTTGCAGTGAATGAGGATGAATTATTGTGGAGGATTTTTGATGGAGGGACCAAACTAAGTGTGGAAAGTAAGTGCAGAATAAAATAAGAAGACGAATAAACACTAATGAAATGTGAATCTGAATAGGTTGCAAATTTAGAGATTACTGTTGTTTTTATTGCTGCATTAATACTGCTTTGGATTGTAAATGACTAGAATTAGAAATTTTTTGAGTAAATGCTAAGTCAATGAGTAAGTAAATGCTTAAGAGAATCAAAATATATTCACAAGAAAGTGATTGATGTACATATTTAGTTTAATAATTAGTATAATAATAATTATTATTTTTCTTAGTAAATGTGGGAAATTATCCAAATTAAACTCGTTTAATTATGCAGCTTTATCTGATTTGTTTGTTTATAAAAGAGCAAACTGGTTATTGTCAGTGTCAGTTTTAGTGCAGGAGGTTTTTGTACAGCCGCTCATTGGGTTTGCATCACTGTGGCGCACATTCGGTGGAGGAACACGACTCTCAGTTGGCAGTAAGTAAATCTCTTTTTATTTCAAAAAATAGAATGAAAAGAACATAAGATGATTTTATTTTATTTAAAAAATATTTTTTAAATAATGACTAGTAGAATAAATAATTAGAAAGTTTTAATCTGGTGTGACACTACCAAATAATTGTCTAACTTTCCTTAGCTCTTCTATAGACCAGTTTAAACCAATCACTTTTTTATTACTGAGCAAAATGGTAAATCATATTTGACAAAGAATAGCTGTTTGTATTTTTTATTCTTTGGGCATGAAATATAATGCTAATATCTGTATACGTCTTTTACTCACCTCTACAGATTGATTTAACAGAGGCAAACAAGAAAACATTAAAACATTTTGTTATGCAAAAAGTTAAAATATAGACAGTAGAACAGCTTTGGTATCTTATTATTAATAGTTTGTAATAATTATTTTTAATAATTCTTGAATAATGAAAAAGTTGTTTTTAATGAAAAGTTTTAAGTCACACCAGACAGAAATGTGTCTTCATTTGTTGTTGCTTTCACTAAAAAATGTTGTAACTGTTAGTAATACAGTAAATGTTAAACAAGAAACTATTTCATAATTTGAACAAATAAAAAAGATTCCCAAAAAATCAAAGATTCATAACATAATATTATGAATCTTTTTAAAATCCAATTATAGATATGTGTGATTACTGGTAAAATGTGTTTTTACGGGCTGTTGCACTTCAGATCTGCTTGATTAACTCTGAATCTCTTAAAGGGAAGTGAAAGACTGATAGAGCTGTTTTTAAGAAGAATGAAACTCTCTCTCTCTCTCTCCCTCTCTTCCCCTCTCTCTCTCTCCCTCTCCCCCCCCCCCCCCCCCCCCCCCCCTCTCTCTCCTCTCTCTCTCTCTCCTCTCTCTTCCCTCTCTCTCTCTCTCTCTCTCTCTCTCTCTCTCTCTCTCTCTCTCTCTCTCTCTCTCTCTCTCTCTCTCTCTCCCCTCTCTCTCTCTCTCTCTCTCTCTCTCTCTCTCTCTAGCTGGCACTCGCCCCACTCTCACGGTCCTGCCTCCCTCCAGAGGCGAGCTGCAGCAGGGTAAGGCTACAGTGCTGTGTTTGGGCAGTAAGGGATTCCCCTCTGACTGGAAGCTGAGCTGGAAGGTGGATGGCAGTAGCAGGAGCTCTGCTGTGAATCTGAGTCCCAGTGTTCTGCAGAAGGATGGACTGTACAGCTGGAGCAGCAGCCTGAGTCTCACTGAGAGTGAGTGGAGCCGAGCAAAAACCATCAGCTGTGACGCCACACACACATCCCAGAATGCAGTGACCCAGAGCCTGAACACACAGCTGTGTGATGATGACCAGTGAAACACACACACATATCACACAAAGACATACAGGCATGCATAATTATTAATTCACACTTCACACACAGTGTAAATTTTGCTCTGTACGTGTTAATCTTTCTTTAAAAGATGTTAATCTTTTATTTTTGCCAAATAAAAGCTTTTTGAGTCATTAATTGTGTTCATTTATTGTTTCAATATAGTATAGCATATTTTCATAATTTTCTTTAAAATACTTATTTTGTATTTAATTTGTTCCTGTACATCATAGTATTTTATTCATTTTATTTGGATTATATTAGTTTACATGTTTACATTCATTTGAATGGAGTTAAATATAAATGTCATGAAAATAAACTTTTAAAAAGTTTTTATCTTAATTATATACCAGAGGAAACCTTATTACAATTTTTACCAGAGAAAGAGTGGACAGGGAAAAAATGATTCAGGATCTATTTCAAACTAAACTGGACATTTAAAGCATACGGATGAAACACTGTTTTCTTGTATGCAATAAAGCAATTAGAGATTCAGTTAAACTGCAGACAGCTTATTTATTTATTTATTTAATTTATTTTTGCTTGTTATTTTTTTTTACTTTTTTATTACCTTGCTAAAGGTGTAGGAGATCAGCTAAACAGGTCTGTAAAAGCAGTGTTTTTGCACCAAATAAATATATACAATGAATAAAAGTTTTAAGAGCTGAAATAAGACACATAAAAGAAATACAAACAGTTTCCCAGCCAATCCACTAAATATTTTATTATAGTGAAATAGTTAATGAGGGACTGATTTAAATCTTCATTTCATCACATAAGCTACAGTGCTGTGTTTGGGCAGTAAGGGATTCCCCTCTGACTGGAAGATGAGCTAGAAGGTGGACGGCATTAGCAGGAGCTTTAATCATTCATTTACACTCATATATAACCTACACACAGTCTTCAAAAAGTTTTGTCAACATTTCCAGTTTTCTCTGTTAGTTAATCTTTCTTTAAGCCTGTGTTTTAATACACGTTTTTGCACATATTTTGATTAAGTGTTATTAAACAAATAATTATTGCCAAATAAAAGCTTTTTGAATTATTAAGTGTGTATTTCTTGTGTGGAATTATGAATATTATAGTATATATTTACCTGAAATTAAAAAGACTTTTAAAAAGACTAATTGATTTACTATAATCTTTTATTCATTTTTTTATTTACATGTTGATATAATTAATATAAGTCCAGTTTAACTTCACAAGAATAATATAAATAATGCTGTAGGGATGATGTGCTGTAATTGTGGACAGAGGAGACAAATGTGGATTCAGACTATACACAGAATATGGTAAATTAATTTCTCATCAAGAAGAATTAAGAGGTGAACTAAATTAAACATGAAATATTTGGCCACAGCGAGCTTTCTTCCATCATCTTGGTTGGATGAATTTTAGGATTGTAATTCATGTGGAAATGTTATTGAGGCATTCTTATGTAGAATGTGTTGAGTTTGTGACTAACGAACATCAACAGTTCTCCAGCCTTAAAATGTCTATGTAAATATAGTGTGTGTGTATGTGTCATGTCTATGTGTGTGTATAAGTCAGTGAGGTGAATAATGATCTTCAACATCAACATCTGCAGAAGTCTCAACCAAGGAGATTTTTGTATGATGCTTTTACACTGTGTGAACACCCAGTCTATGGTGCCAGAGACCCCCTTGTTATGTCCACTCTGACAGTAATACACTCCTGAATCTTCAGGCTGGACTCCACTGATAGTCAGAGTAAAATCCATGTGGTTTCCACTTTCACTGCCACTGAATCTAGAAGAAACACCTGGAGCTCTCTCTGATGTTAAATAGATCAGGAGTTTAGGAACTTTTCCAGGAATCTGATGGTACCAGGACATACAATACAGGGTGGTATCTTTTTTAACACAGTCTATTGCTGGTTTATGATTACAGTGAATAGAGACGGTCTGATCAGGCTGCACTGTCTGCGCTTCAGATTGAGTCAGAGTTTGTCCCACAGAACCTGAAGAGAGAGACAGAAAACGTCTCAGGTTACGTATGTAACCCTGGTTCCCTGAGAGGGAACGAGACGCTGCGTTTGAGACGCGGTGGGAACGCTCTGCGTGATTGCGTCATGAAGCACGTGTAAAATCAGTCCAATGGAAGCCCGATACGTCATGGGTGACGTCATAGACCAGGAAACTATAAAGCACCCTTGAAAACAGACCGCGACAGCTTCTGAAAAAGTCTGAAGCAAGTCGATCAGGGCATGCAGGAAGTATGGCAGGCAAACGCAGCGTCTCGTTCCCTCTCAGGGAACCAGGGTTACATACGTAACCTGAGACGTTCCCTTTCAAGGGAACTTCGAGCTGCGTTTGAGACGCGGTGGGAACCCCATACCCACTACGCCATAGTGACAAATGCCCGTTCTGTGTGAAGTCCTTGCGCACACTAAGAAGCAAGCAACCTCGCCCCTGGAGTGGAGAGGTCAAGGTCATAAAACTTGACAAATGTATGTGGAGAGGACCAACCTGCCGCATTACAAATGTCAAGAAGGGAAACACCCGAAATTAAGGCCGTAGAGGCCGCCATACTCCTTGTAGAATGGGCCCGTACAGCCATAGGTGAAGGCTGACCGGCCGCTTCAAAAGCCAATGATATAGCCTCGACTATCCATTTGCTCATAACCTGTTTAGATGCAGGGCACCCTCTTCTGAGTGACCCAAAACATACAAATAACTGCTCTGACTTACGCCACAGGGCAGCTCTGTGAACGTAGGCATCCAATGCCCGAACTGGACATAACAGGTTCAGTTGTTCCTGATCTGGGGTATTAAAAGGTGGAGGATAAAAGGCCTGCAACACTATTGGGCCCCCAACATTAACTGGGACCTTAGGAATATAACCCGGTCTAGGGTATAGAAATGCTTTCACCATACCAGGTGCAAATTCCAGACATGACGGAGCAACCGACAGGGCATGCAAATCTCCAATTCTCTTGATAGATGAAATAGCAAGGAGAAATAAAGCTTTCAAAGTGAGGAATTTTTCTGAAACCTCTTCAATAGGCTCGAAGGGAGCCAAAGCCAGACCCTCAAGTACAATGGCTAAATCCCAAGCCGGTGCTCTAGAGTGCAGTGCAGGTCTCAACCTCAATGTACCACGGAGAAAACGAGTAATCAGAGGATCTCTCCCAAAAGAAGTACCCCCCAGAGGGGTATGATAGGCCGAAATAGCCGCCACAAACTTTTAAGGTGGAAGGAGATAATCCAGCAGAGAAACGGTCTTGCAGAAAATCGAGAACTGAACCAACAGGGCAGTTAACAGGATCTAACTGACGCTCACCACACCAGGTGGAGAAAATTTCCATTTCAGTGCATACAGTCTTCTCGTGGAAGGAGCTCTGGAATGGAGAATGTCTCAACGACCTCAGTCGAGAGACTGGATTCTATGAGCCTGGCCCCCTCAGAGGCCAGGCCCACAGTTTCCACAACTCCGGTCGAGGGTGAAATATCGTGCCCCCTGCCTGGGACAGCAGGTCCCTCCTGAACGGAATCTCCATGGGAGAGCCGTCCAGAAGAGACAAAGTCCGAGAACCAAACTCGAGTCGGCCAGTACGGGGCTACTAGTAGCAGATGAGCCCCTTCCCGGCGAACCCTCTCCAGAACCTCCGGGAGCATAGATATCGGGGGAAATGCGTACAGGTGCAGCCTCGGCCACACCTGCACCATCGCATCCAGTCCGAGAAGAGTTGGCTGCGTGAGGGGGAACCATATAGAGCAATGCGTTGTACAAACGATGTGAAAGGTCGACTTGACTTTAGTTAGACCAAAGTTCTCCCTAAGAAGCTCCACCACCTCGGGGTGAAGTCTCCAATCCCCTGGGCCTCAGCCCCTGCCTCAACAGGATATCTGCTCTGATATACGAGACCATCAGTGTGTTGTTCCGCCATTCGCCGAGCAACCACTCATGATCGCCCCCACTTGTGAGGGAAGCATCCGTCGATAGCAATATGCGTCGACAAGAAGCCCCCAACACTGGGCCTGGGCGAGGAACCAAGGTTCTTCCACATGACCGAAGCACGAAGGCATAGCCGCGTGACCTTGATCATGCGAAAATGTATTTCCCCTCGGAGAAAACCCCTTGGTCCTGAGCCACCACTGCAGGGGTCTCATGAACAGAAGGCCAAAAGTAATACGTTGGACGCAACTGCCATGAGACCCACCCGTCTGAAACTGTTTCACAGTGAGTGACTGGCCTAGATATACCCCATTACGGCTGTAAGAATTGCTACACCTAGAAAAGTGGTCCTCAGAGCACACTCTTCTTGGCGTTGAGAGGCAACCCCAACATCCTTAATGAGACAGAACGACATCTCGATGCCGAACTGCCATAAACTCAGATTGAGCTAGGAGCAACCAATCATTGATGTAGTATAATACGCGAATGCCCTGGAGTCTCAGAAGAGCCAGAGCTGCATCCACGCATACTGTAAAGGTGTGGGGTAATAAACCTAGGCCGAATGGAAGAACCCGATAATGGTATGCTTCGCCCCCGAAAGCAAACCTCGGGAACCTCCCTCATCCTCTTTCGGAAACAATGAAGTAATGGCTGTCTGCTGGGAGGAGGAACCCCTTCTACAGCTCCTTTTGCAGAAGTGACAGTACTTCCTGCTCCATAACCAAAGCCTGCTCGGGGTCCACCAATGAGAGGAGGACCCCTAGAAATCTGGGCGAACGAGAACCGAACTGAATTCTGAAACCCTTTTCTATAGTGTGCAGGACCCACTGAGAAATATGTGGCAGTAGTTTCCACGCTGCCAGAAATTTACTAGGGGAACCAGTCTCTCAAGACTGGCCTCTGGATTTGTTTGAACAGTCACTACGGCGCCCTGAAGCGGCGAACCGGCAGGGAACAACCGAACTGACCATTCTACGACCCTCCTCGGAGGATCGTATGGGGATGCTGACACCTCGGTGCCCTGAACGGCGAACCGGCAGGGAACAACCGAACTGGCAGCGCTGCAACCCTCCTCAAAGAGTTGCACCCC